ATGAACGAAATAAAATCTGTGGTCTCTTTCATACGCACGTAAAATTATTGAGGATTTGTAATTTAAAATTGCTGTCAGTTGCAAACACCCAAGCGGTATTTCGCTAATGCCACGATGATATTCGAGGAATGATTTGTTGGTCATTACGTGTCGGTTACCGGTGTGTCCACTTGCCGATGAATAACGTTACGGACAACGTTACGGACAACGTTAGAGGACAATATTGTGGACAGTCGAGTACTCGATTTCTCTGGAACGCTCGTAAATCATCATTGTAAAGAAACCTCTTGAACGTTTACCTTTAGAGAGGCTAACAGATTTTAGATAGAAAATATGTCGATGTTTCTATGACGCATTTCCAGCAAGTGAAATTACTTCTTGTCCACCAGTCAATCTTCCAAATCGCAAATAGAAATTGAAAAGGAAAACGGATGGAGATGAAAACGCGTGAAACTAACTTAATAAAATGTCAATTCGAAAGGGGAAATTGACATGGGAGGTGTGTAACGTTGGTGTTAAAAGACCATAACAACTAGAAACCATATCTCGTAACTATAGAATCTGGCCTCGATTTGTCTTAACCCGAACATCGATAATCCCTCGATCCTATTGGATGATGAGAACGAACATCCAAAATGATTTCAACAGAGCTTATATCCTCCTTCTTCTGCATTGATTTTATCAATATTCTCGCTTCCGGATAAAAATGTCCATGGAGGGTTTGCAAATAAGAATAAAAAAAAGAAAATACGGTAGTCACTCGTTTAGTCTCGAAGACTCTTCGGAATCAACATATTCGTGTCAAGACGAGCACTTTAGTTATTTCTCGAGGGTAAAGACACGTTTACTAGAATAAGCATGAGTTAGAAATAAAGAGAGAGGGAGAAAGAGAGAGGAGGATGGGTGGGGGGGGGGTGAGAACGAGCAAGTACGAAAATGTACTTTGGTCTTATAAAAACTCATATAGGCTTCTGCTGACTAGCATAAAGTAGAGAGCCGTCGTAATTGCGTTCGGCGTCGGCGTTGGGCTTTTAATTAATGCGACATACTTTTTTTCATCACTGAAAAGTGCCACATCCTTAACGTCTCACATATTTCCTATTTCTCTCTCTCTCTCTTTCTCTCTCTCCGTCATTTTTTCTCTCTTACCTACTCTTTCTCTCCAACTGCTGGAATTGCAGTTTACCCTTACCCCGGGATCGTTAAATGCATACAATCAAAATAAAAGAAAAGAAAGAAAGAAAGAAAGAAAAAAAAACAAATCCGCCGACTCTTCGGGTTGGCTCAATTTCTTTTTTTTATTTATTTTCTTTTTTTCTTTTTTCTTTTTCAACATTACGACTTCCACCGCTGCTGCGTTTTCTTTTTATTTTCAATTTCAATCCCCCTTTTCCGACGTGTAAGCTTCTGTAGACGGCGTTACGTAATATCTGGCGCACAGAAATATATTTATGCGTTTGCTTGATCGAAACAAAACCAATCAAATCGACAGGACTTTTTGTTTCAAATCCTCACAATTTCCTTCTCAATCCTTTCTTAATTATTTTTCTGTATCTTTCATTTACGATTTCGAATTTTGTATCTTTTTCTAGGTTATCGTTCATACCGAGAGAGAGAGAGAGAGAGAGAGAGAGAGAGAGAACATTAATCCGCGTAACCTACATACGAAAAGCCCGAGCTTGCATGAGCTTGCCAATGAAAAGGACGAGGAAAAGCGTTACGGTTTTTGCTCTCTTTCTTTTGTTTTATATTTCTTTTATTAAACACTTTTTTTTTTGTTTTTAGTCGTCTCCAGGGAAACGATTCTATGGTCGCTATATGGTTCTTTTTTTTTTATTTCAAACTGTTTATAAAATGTTTTTCTCCCGGTAGAAAAACTCTCCTCTTGGCAAATTGCTGCCAAAGAATTTTGTTTAATAAAAAATCATCTATTGTAGTTTAGCTATTGCGTTAATGTCAAGGATCGACAATTTAGCGAAGACGAGTTAGAGAAATGAAGGGGAAGGAAGGCGTAAAATTGATGGACGAACAAGACAATCGAGCGTCCAGAATGGAACCGTCCATGGCTTCATTAGAGCAAATTGCCAATTAAAAGCTTTTCGAGTTACCATAGTAACCATTGGGATGTGACGTACGCGTCCAGGTATTACTACATATGTGTTAGTAATATAAGTATTGTCAATTTTTGATTGTAAAGCAAATTGAAAAATGTAAATTATGTTTTCTTTTGAAAATGTAACCTCTGGAAGAAACTTGGATGAGTATTTTTGGTCTGTTCATAAGACTCTCGTTTGATATTCACGTGACGTGAGTTTGGAAGTGGAAACCTTATAAGGCATTTCGATCTCCCAAAAGGACTTTTGCACTCGTTTCCAAAGCCCCGTGGCGAAGCTGGCACGAAACGAGTCTCTGCGTCGCCTACAACCTCGCAGATTCCCATTTTCTATCTCTCTTACTCTTTTCATCCTATGTATATGTATATATATATATATATATGTAAGCGAGCGTTATCGCACGAGCACTGAAACGAGTTGCAATTTGCATGCTCGTCCTCGTTTTAAAGTCGACCGATGACTTCCTCTTGTCAATGTATATATATCAAAAGACAAAATAATGTTAACATACTGTTTCCCATTATTTTGTCAGTTCCCTTCTGTGCATAGATCTACTATTGTATTTGCAAAGCATTTTGCATCTATTATAAAGTCATTGACATTTTTCTTTTTATAAACTAAACATTATATATTCGAGAAAAAAGAAAAACATTATGAACCTTTCAAGTTTCTTTTCGTCATTAATCTCTCTCTCTCTCTCTCTCTCTCTCTCCGTTCTTCCTTTCAATTTAGGATACATTTCTAGCAGTTTAAACGAGTTGAAAAGTTTCAAGCTAAAGATCTCTCTCTCTCTCTCTCTCTCTCTCTCTTTCTTTGTTATTTTTCAAAGGTTGAAAACAAGAAAGACGTTTACCAGGATCTTTTTCGTATCTGGGCTAATTCCTTGTTTTCACGCCCGAGTTTCTTCTGAAATAAGATGTTCAACGAGTAAATGGAAACTTCTCTCTTTTTTTTCTTTTCTTTTTGGCTTTGACTGATGGACGCATACAATTTCGTTAGTTTGCTAATAAATTTGTAAAAAAAAGAAAAAAAAAGAAAATGAGTGTTGACAAGATCTGTATAGAATTCTCGTAGGCTCTACGAGAAGAAAAGGAAAAGAGATACGATGAATATCTGGCTGGGTAGAATGGGTGGTGGTGGTGGTGGTGGTGGTGGTGGTGATGGTTGGTCTGACGCAGCAAACAGAAAATAATAGCGGGTGGCATTGTGTTCCCGTTTTCGTTGGTTCTGTCCGCAATGAGAACGCTCCTCTAGGATTCCCTTCGCCATTGTACGCTTTTTATCTCTCTCTCTCTCTCTCTCTCTCTCTCTCAGCATCCCTAAGTTTCTTTTTCATCCTCCCCAATGACACACGTACCACGTATTCCCATATTTTAGTCGATTGTAGAGGAGGACCTGCGACAGATTGGAACGTTTATGCCTGCTCGAGGGTGAAAGACAATGTGTCCTTCGTGATTTCTCTACTACTACTACTACTACTACTACTACTACTACTACTACTACTACTTCTATTCCATCATTTACTTCCTCTCTCTACAAATAAATAGAAAAAAGAAAAAAAAACAAGGAGGATGCATTTAATTAATCCCCATAGACGTACGACACGTACGATAATTTTTAGGAAATCGTTATCGTCACGATAAAGAAAAATCTTTCTAATCAAATAATGATATTTGATGATTAAACTTGAAATTGCATTAGACTATGGATGATTTAGTTGAAATAGTTCCATTACAATATTTTATCTCTTCTGAACGATCAGATCTCAAAAGAGAAATGATATTCTAATTAAGGTCGCGAACTCGATCCGACCTCGTCCGATTTCTCTCGTCTTTCTGTCGTCTCGAATGAATCGAAACGAATAGAACGGTCCTTTACATAAATTACAAACGTTTTTTATTTGTTCCGTAAAAAGAAGAAAATAATATAAAGAGAAAGAGAGAGAGAGAGAGAGAGAGAGAGAGAGAGATTTAGAATAACAGGGTAGCCTAATTTCTTTTTCTTTGACTCGTATCGTTTACTTTGCCAAACAAAATTGAGATCATCAAGATTATTATATTTGACAAAATTATCTACCCTTCAAATAAATTACAGCAGAAAGTTACACGAAGGTATTTCTATTTTTGTTTGAAAAAAAGTCACTTTTTTAATATTCATCTGAGAAAATTACGTGGACTAGAAAAATAAAATAAAAGAAATGAAGTCGTGGTTATTTTCATAGTTATTTTCGTAGAACGGTAGAACGAACCATAACTCTGTACTAGACTTTAAACGATCGTAACCATCAATCGTCGATAATGGAAAAAAGAGTTAGAAATTCTCTACGATGCGTTCTCGAAAAGATGGAAGTCTCGGAGATGCCAGGCTTGCAGTTAGACTACCCATTGAGAAATGACTTACTATTAAATCGTACATACATACATACGAGATCTTTGTGTTCTCTTTCTTGAACACAGAAACGTGAATTTGTCAGTCGAATGCCATGACACTTTCAACGAACCCATTCAAAACCCAAGGACTGTTTTTCACGAAGCCATATCCAACCATTAATGATAAGAATATTATTACGAGCGCGTGTCGTCTCTTCCCCCTTATCTCTCGGCAAACACAACTTATTTTCTGAGCCCATGCCAACAAAGTCGTAAATATTATTCCAAACAAATTCGAGTTTATTGGCTATTCTCGACTACGATCCCTCACAATTTGTATTTAAAGAATTACGATTGGTGAGTTGAAAAGAGACTAAAAACACGCGATTCTAGTTGATCGTAGGGGAAATGGAAGTTGTTAGGGGTTGAGTTTGTAGCGAGATAACTTAAATAGTTAAACAAGTATTTTAAGGAAAAGAAATACTAGATAAAAAGATAAAAAGAGGGTGTGACTCACCGAGGAAGACATTCTCATCGATATCGTCGGCATGAAGATCGAGGTCGAGGTCTGCAACACCATTGATGGTGGTGGTGGTGGTGTTGGTGTTGGTGGTGGTGCCGCCGCGTGTCTGAAGATTTCTCTTGGCCAAATCCATGAGGCAATCGCGAAGATCCAACTGACCCGTCGCCAAAAGCTCGGCAAGAAGGGGTAGGTAAGGAGAGGTGCGGAGACGAGGGCTGGTTGCTCGTAGACAGCCAGGCAACCAAAGCCCTAACAGACCAATAGGAAGGGCCGGCAATGCTCCGGCACTGACGAAGCCACCGTTCAAGAGTTCACCGCACAACATAGGTGCCACGATGATCTCAACTCCACCCTCCTGACCTTGACACTACCCCTAACACCGACACCTTAAACACACACACACACACGCACATAGACATTTATTTAACATATATCCGTATTTTTAATTAGTGTACGCATTTCAAAAGGAAACAATGCTCGAGCAACAACTGAAATTCTATAAACGAGTTTCGAATTGGCCAACACTGAATCGCGTCGAAGACAAATATTAGCAATGCGTTTCCATTGGTCAATAACAACGATGCACCGTGTTTGCATTAGCTATCTCACGTAAATCGTACACGCATTCAAATTCAATCATTGCAAGTCTCGCAAAGTTTTTTCTTTTTTTTTTCGAACGATATAGAAAAGCGAGCTTAAAAAGTGGAAGAAAGAGAGTCATATCGTTCTTTGAAAGTCAATTGTGGAAGTTCATTTAATAACTTTTGGTCCACTCGGTATATAATACATATATGTATGTATTCCAGGGAACATGCGGGATCGTTTTCGGTAACCCTTTCTCTCACCCCTTTTGGTGTCTGGGTAAACATCGTCGTCGGGTCGTTACTAGCTCCAATCTCGGCTTTCCACGAAAATCCAACGAAACTCGATATCACCTAGCGGAAAATCGTGACGTTCACGTTCATGATTCTCTTGAAACAAATTCATAAACTATGTCTATGTGTGTATGCAGGTAACATGCATACAAATATTAAATAGATCCTACTGATGCAAAAAAAAAACATAGAATTTCGCATGTGTAAGCGTGTGCTTGTTAAAAAGGTGAATTCGATTGGGCAAAAAAAGATTYAAGAAGAAAAGAAAAGAATAGGAAATAAAATTGGGTATCCTCCTCGTAAACCCTGTTTGAAACGCGTTAACCTTCGCTATCCTGCTCGATTAGTTATCCCACCCCCGTTTTTCTTCTTTCGAAAGGAAGAGAACGTTTTGAAAGGAAAACGGGAATCGGATGGTTCAGGGGCTCTGATACGAGCTAAAACGAAAGACGTTTCCGCGAAACTTACCGGCAATTTCCATGCGAACGAGGAGCATCGTCCGTATTTCTCCTAGCTATACCATACCCTTCTTTCCTTCCTTCGGAAGAAAGTACGAGTATACCTAAATGGAATCGATCCGGGGTACGTATACCTCTTACCAACGTTATATACGTTGATATCGCAGAATGTCGAGGAACGATAACACCATATCTCGCTTAGTTTTCTTCTATTATACACAGGGTGCTGCAACTAAAGCAAAAAACAAAAAAAGAAAATACTAAAAAGATCTTTTTTTCTTTTGAACACCTACACAATCGGTACGAATCCATATTAGAATTAAAGGATGAACTTTTGGAAAGTTGTTCTTTCCATTATTATGAAGTCATTCACAAATCACACACGCACAGAGAAAGAGAAGAAGGATTAAGGATCGTTAATAACTGAAATGATTGTGTAGGTTCGTTTGTACGTCGGTCGATGACCGACCGACCAGCCGGCAATTTACTTGGCACCATTTCTACATAAGCGCGTACATATGTGTATAGTTCTCGAAGCTCAGGCAAGCAGGTTTGTAAGCGAGTAAATCCCGCGGCAGCACTAACACTACCACCACCACCACCACCACCACCAGGGCAAACAGGGGGAACAGGGGCAGGTTGATTGATCGTACGTCAGGTTCCAGCCAACCTGGCGCCAGAATGCTGGCTACCAACCTGAGTTATAAGTGAGTATACACACTGGAAAGGTACTCAACTAGTCTCTCTGATAAGCTATTATACAATCCTTAGCTTTCACAAATGTTCTCTGAAAATTTACTTAGGTTTTAATGATATTGAGATACTTGCCTAGAATATGAACAACTTTTTTCATTACCTTTTACTTTTTTTTTCTGTACAAAATTTTAATCAATACAAATAAATAAATATCTATCTTCTTAGATTATTTTGTAGGATCGTTGAACATTGGACGTTATCAGAAAGTAATATCGAATATCGTTGTGGCTTCCGGTCCATGAAACATTCATGCAACTCGGCAAGCACGGTTTGCAACGCAAAAATGCGACCGATAAAAGTGCACCGACTGAGGGTGGACACTCCTCCTACCTGTCTGTCCCCCACCTTTCTATCCTCCACTCCTCTCAGACTCTCTGGAAATCTCGTTAATATTCTTCGAGTGAACTTTTTTCTTTTCGAAAAACTACTTTGATCGAATTCAAATCAATTCTTCGATAGAACAAACACAATTTTGCATGGATTGAGTAGAATTGGCACGGTTATATCGAATTACTTTTAAATTTAATTCAATGAAATACAAATTGCATGTAAAAACATTTCCCTGACTGATGATTAATAAATCGTATCATGGGAATGAAAAAAAAAAAATAAAAAATAAAAAAAAATTCTCCAAATGGGGAATAAAATAATTTGAACAAGTGGATCTAATTATATTCTCTCCTCCTCTCGTTAATTTTTCTTTCATCAAATTCCCAATCTCTAAACGAATTAGAAAATACATTTTTATTTCCGCAAGTTTTCGCGATAAGCTGCCGCAACGAAGCGAGATAGTTAAGTATGTGTGTAGAAATGAGAATAAACGCAATAGAGAGAGAGAGAGAGCTGACTCGAGACTTCATGAATGTATGTGTGTGTGTGTGTGCATGTGGTACGTAATTACTGAGACACGGCAGAGAAGTTTGCCCGATTAAAACCGACGACGGTTCAGTGAATTCTCTGGAACTCGTAGACTCGTGTCTGGAAATTCACGAGGTCGCGTATTAAAAAGTTTTCTCTCGATCTTTGTTCCTATCCCTTATCGTCATATATACCTACCCCATTCCGTGCCCTGCCACCCCTCTCTCACCCTACAACCTTACCCCTTTTTAAACCTCTTTTTCCTTTTCAATGCAAATCCGAGTACAAGTTTGTGTAGCTTAACATTCGCCCAAAAATCATTTATAGTTATTTAAGTGATGACAATTTCCAAATTATTTATTTTCCATCATAATTTTAATTGATAAAAATTAATTTATTATTTTGTATCTAATGCAAATAAGAGAGAGAGAGAGAGAGAGAGAGAGATTATGTTTGCAAGAAACGTTCTTTCATTCGAGTTCAATGAAAAATAAGATTCTTTTCAACGCAAATTATTCTCTCTTTCTCTTTCTCTCTCTCTCTTATCAACGTAGACTTACTTATGTTTTTTGTACATTTAATTTGTCCGTCGTATTTGACGTCGCCGACGGAAAGCTTCTTGTTTGTGTAATTACTAGAAACTCGACAGAGTCACAAAATTCTCTTTTACTTTTGCTTTTGCTTTATAATATCTTTCTATTTAATTTCATTTATTTTCATTTCACTTAATCTCATTTTCTTTTTAAATGATCCAACATTTTTTAAATTAAACCCCCACGGAAATATTTTCGAAAGATTTGGATAATTATTTTCTTGAAATTAAATGTTATGTAAATAAGATTAATTATGAAATATCACTGGAATAATAAATGTAATATTAATATATTCGTGAGTAGAACTATGTAGCTGTCTCAGGAATCGAGAGTGGAATGATCGGCACGTAGTTGCAACGTTACAAGGGAGTTTCAGTATCCTCGGATATTCGTCTGAAGTATGTAAATGACTTTAGAGTGCTTGGTAAGATCTAAATTAATCCCAGCTCGCTTATGAAAACTCACCTTTCAAAAAGAGAAATCGAAATTGAAATCGAAATCAAAATCGAAAACTGAAATCGAAAGAAAATTGATCAAACTACTCAGCACAGTTAGTAGAGGGTAAAAGAAGATTAAAAAAAACTTGACAAATTTGTCATGTAAAAAAATTATTTATTATTCCGTTATTTGATGAAAATTCAATAAGTAAAATCTATGAAAATGATATGATCAAGGATTAAAGATCTAACTAACGATATCGAATGAAATTATTCAAAAGCAGACTATAAATAATGGAATAGATTTGCGTAGAACATCCTGTAATACCACGAGAACCAATGTTCTCAAGCTGTCGGAAGCGTCAGGTGGTTTCTAAACCACGATAGAATCGATAGAAACGAGGCTTAATGACAAACGTACGAACGAACGAACGAACGATCGATCGATATGCGTGTTCAACTGTCGAAAACGCGTCCATCTTTTGCTTTTGACGTATATTATCTAAATCCTTTTGGGAAATTCTCTTCGTATTTTACAAGCTGGATCTATAATCAATTACTTTTTTTTTGTTTTTTTTTTTTTTTACTTGAACACGCGTACAAAACTTTGATCACTTGGAGTTTGAGAATCTACACCAAAATTAGTCTTAAAGGATTCGAAAAAGAAAACTAATTGATTTATAAAAAAAAAAAAAAACGTAAGAACTTTTGGCCCCAGCTTGGAACTTGGAGAAAAGCCTTTAGTATTATATGTACTTGGATGGGATCGTTAAGAGTAAGAAGATATTCCTATCACGTTTTGAAAGTCTACACTGTCAAAGAGTTCCAAGTAGAAAACTCTGGAAGCAAGGAAGATGACACAGGAGTCCATTCCCAAGAGAAAATTTCTCCTCAATTCGTTTCTACTGGAGATTTCTCAAACTAAATCTTTTCACTCGTTTACTATGTCATCTAGTCTCTAGAAAGAAATATGACCGCGAACATGTCTTTGTTTCAGCACAACGAATGAATTTATTTTCTAATTGAGTTTACACTGACAATGAGATAAATTTAATGCGTAAGTTGGCACAGAAAACAAAAAACAAAAAAGTCAAATGTAAATGTTTTATTTGTCAAATTATCTATTGTAATTATCGAAAAGATTAGATAACGAGAAACTAACTAGTTATCTAACTTTTCTAATCAGCAAGTCTATAAAATCAAACGTTTAGAAACATGAAACTTAACAAGACGTTCTATATCTTACCGTTTTCAATGCTAACACTTGGATAATATCAAAATCGAAGCACGAGCATGATCGATTAAACTGCTATGTGCATGCACGATAAGAGAGAGAGAGAGAGAGAGAGAGAGAGTGATGAAGTCATGTATCCGGTCTAAACAGCCCATTTGCCCAACACAATAGAGCTGATGTCGCTGTGAGCTTGACTTAATTACCAAAGGCTTCTGCCTCTGGCAGGAAGCAAAGAGGGTGTTCTACGTGAAATAGAAACGAAAGAGAGAGGGAGAGAGTGAGAGTGAGAGTGAGAGAGAATTATCAAAAGTACCAAAGGTCTAATCGTTTTTCAACAATAATTAATTATTAAATTCTATTCTCTATCCTTGGTCTCTCTGTTTTTATTCAATTAACAACTCAACAAGAAAAACAAAACATTCATGAGAACGATAAATTCATTGACGTAATTGATAATTATTTATCATTATTAGATGATCAGGGTCGTTGTCAGAGTCACGTTAGACATGCGATTTTTTTTAACGATACACTTACAAACCAATAATTATTTTCTATTTAGAAAAAAAAAAGAAGAAAACAAATTTAGAACGTTATATAATTTTGTATTATTATATGGAAACAAAAACCTTTTTTTCTTTATCAATGAAGTAAACCTTGAAAATAATGTTTCTATCTTTCCTTTCTCTGATACTCTAATGTAGTAACCCATTTCTCTCTCGTTGTTTCTCTCTTTCTCTTTCTCTCTCAAACTCCTATAATAGATCATGAAGTGAAAAGTAAGAGGGAGTAAAACAGTTTTCCAATACTTCAGACAAAACGAGAATTCTCTCTCTCTCTCTCTCTCTCTTTCTTTCTCTCAACATTATTTGCAAAAAGAAAACTCACCAAAGCTTTCATAAAGTTCAACAGCTCGCAAACACGACTGCATTAGATGACTGACGAATCTGTAAAATGGAGAGAGATTTCGAATAATTATCTAAATAATAAGATTATATATAATATATTTATATAAATAATAATAAATCACATTGATATTGCACAATCTTTGTTAAATCTCGCGTATTATTTTGATACGACATGAGCCTCCTTCTACTTTTACTTTCATTACATAACAGAATGATTAAGCCACTTTATTAATCTCCTCTTCTTCCTTCTGCTCCCCTTACTATAACTCGTTATTAAACGTTGTAAAGATGATAACAGAACTGATAAAATAAAAACTACGTATCATCGTAGAGTTGAAAATAATGAAAAAATGATCATGCACGTCTTTGTAGGATCATTCATTTAAGATATATATGTATGATTTTAAAATGACGTAATTGCAAATGATAAAATTGTATTTGTAACGATAACCAACGAAAGAGATGATACCCCACTTATCACCCAGTTAACACGCATGTACTCATACTTTTGTCCATTCATCTCTCTGTCGACTTCAGTTAGTGTTAAACAGTAGCATGCAAAAGTGCAACGTGACAACATCTTCTTCTTCTTCTTGCATTTGTTAAAAAAGAGTGTTGCTTATTAAATTCATAAACATGGATTTGTTGTTTATCGTTTTAATACTTTGTGGTCTAATAGCCTTGTATTTGTATTGGAGATGGTCTTTTAGTTATTGGGACCGACAAGGTATACCATCGGTACCATTTGTCCTGCCAATCGTTGGTCATCTCTTACCACTGTTATTATTGCAAAAGAATATTTCTAATTTGGTAAAGAATTGGTACAATCGGTTCAGCGAAGCTAGTATGGTTGGTTATTATGACGGTATGGTACCAGGATTATTGGTACGTGACCCAGATCTAGTTAAGACAGTCATGCAAACTAATTTCTCGAATTTCCATGAGAATGCACTGAAAATTGATCCAAAACACGATCCACTGTTGGCTAAAAATCCATTCTTTACGGAAGGTGAGGAATGGCTGACCGGTAGAAAGAGATTGACCTATGCATTTTCGAGTATGCGATTGAAGATATTAGCTGAAACGGTAAGAGGTGTTTGCAAAAAGTTCGACAATTATTTGAACAGAAAGATCGGTGAAGATCAGAGGATCGAATTCGAAACGAAAGATCTTTTTGGAAGATTTACCGGTGAGGTGGTAGCCAATGCTGCATTTGGTATCGAAGGATTTTGTTTCGAAGACAACTATAATTCGCAATCGTTTCACGAACTTGGAAAAAAGATATTTCGGGTGACACCGTTTCATGGTGCTGTGCAATCCGTCATGTTATTTTTACCATTCTTACACAATTTTTTTAATTTCCGATTTATACCGAAAGATATCGATCATTTCTTCAGAACTATCGTCAAACAGGTCATCGAAAAGAGAAGGGAAGAGACCGAGAAACGTAACGATTTCTTTCAATTAATGGCAGATCTTGAAAAAAGCGAGGGTCAAAAGTTCGATGTGGAATCATTGACAGCTCATGCACTCTCGTTCTTCGTCGATGGTTACGAGACCTCGTCGGCGACCTTAAGTTTTATTTGTTTTGAATTATCCATTCATTATGACGTACAAGAAAAAGCTAGGAAAGAAATTCATGATGTATTAGCAAAACACGGAGGCGAAATTACGTATGATTCGTTGAAAGAGATGACCTATTTGGATCAAGTGATCAACGAGTCTCAGAGATTGAACACTTTACTAGATATGATGGGTAAAGTATGTACCAATAATATTCAATTGAAAGGAAAAGATGGTCTTACTTGTCAAGTGGAGCCTGGTACTAAAATCATTATACCTATTCAATGTCTACAAAGAGATCCTAAATATTGGATTAATCCGGAAGGCTTTGATCCTGATCGTTGGAGCAACGAGAAAAAATCTGATGTTAACAAATATTGCTTTTTACCATTCGGCGAAGGTCCAAGAATTTGCGTTGGTCTTAGAATGGGATTGTTACAGACAAAAGCTGCATTAGTTACGCTTTTATCAAAATTTAGGGTAGAACGTAACCCAAGAACCGATTATCCTGTTAAAATTGGGCTTTGGGGAATATTGTCAACACCTGTTCAAGGGCTTTGGGTATATTTGAGACGTCTTTAATTGCAACATTAATATATCTTATTCATATCTTTCTCCTTCGAATTATTAAACGTTCCGAAAATGATATATATAACCATAAATCATATAAATAAAATTTGTAAAATAAAAAATAAATCATTCCCCGTTTATTTATTTTCTCCCACTTATAAATTAAAGTGACTTTATATTGGGACGACTTCTAGAGGTCACTCCTATTTGTGGCAATAAGCATTAAACGGGACTTATCTTCTCTTATCATATATGCATGGACAAGTTCACATATAGCGACCCCTGTAGACATATCCTAACTGCTCTGATTAATATCGGCCAGTAGCGGACACGAATGCGACGTAGAAAGATCTGTAGCTGTAGTTACAAAGAAAAAAGTTTCATTTTTAAGTTAAGATTTGAATCGATAGAAGTATGAGTTTTTTATTGACCGTGTTAATAATCTGCGCAATAATAGCTTTGTATTTTTATTGGCGGCAGATTTATAGTTATTGGGAACGACGAGGTATACCGTCGGCGCCGTATGCTTTGCCGATCGTCGGTCATCTATTACCACTGATATTATTACGAAAGAATGTTTCTCAACTTATACGAGGTTGGTATAATCGGTACAGCGAAAGGAGTATGGTTGGCTTTTACGATGGTATGGTGCCAGGATTATTGATACGCGACCCAGATCTAATCAAATCCATTTTGCAAACTAATTTCTCGAGTTTCCATGAGAACGGTGTGAAAGTTGCAAAGGATGTCGATCCGTTGATTGCCAAAAATCCATTTTTTTTGCAAGGCGAAGAATGGATGACCGCTAGGAAAAGATTGACTTACGCTTTCACGGGTATGCGATTGAGAATTTTATCGGAAACTGTACGAGGTGTTTGCAAAAAGTTTCATAATTATTTGAATAGAAAGATCGGTGAAGATCAAAGAATCGAATTCGAAACGAAAGATCTTTTTGGAAGATTTACCGGTGAGGTGGTAGCAAATGCGGGATTTGGTATTGAAGGATTTTGTTTCGATGATAATTACAATCCAAGATCGTTTCACGAGATCGGCAAGAAGACTTTTAAAATGACCAAGTTGCACGGTGCCATGCAATCCGTTTTGATCTTTTTTCCGTTTCTAAATAAATTTGTTAAAATGCCTTTTATACCAAATGAAATCGATGAGTTCTTCAGAACAATCGTCAAACAAATTATCCAGAAGAGAAGGGAAGAAACCGAGAAGCGTAATGATTTCTTTCAATTAATGATCGATCTTGAAAGAAGCGAAGGACAAAAGTTCGACGAGGATTCATTGGCTTCGGAAAGTCTCTCATTTTTCGTTGATGGTTATGAAAGTTCAGCAGGTACCATAAGTTTTGTTTGTTTCGAACTATCCATTCATTACGATATTCAAGAAAAGGTAAGAAATGAGATCAATGATGTATTAGCTAAGCACGGAGGTGAAATTACGTATGATTCGTTGAAAGAGATGACTTATTTGGATCAAGTGATCAGCGAATCTCAAAGATTGAACTCCTTGTTCGATATAACCATTAAAATGTGTACCGATGCTATTGAATTGAAAGGTTACGATGGTCTAACTTGTCAAGTGGAACCTGGTACAAAACTCATTATACCTAGTCGTTATTTGCAAAGAGATCCTAAATATTGGACTAATCCTGAAGCCTTTGATCCTGATCGATGGAGCGATCAAAGGAAAGCTGATATTAATAAATATTGTTTCTTGGCATTCGGAGAAGGTCCAAGAATTTGCGTTGGTCTTAGAATGGCATTGTTACAGACAAAAGCTGCTTTGGCAGCGCTCATATCAAAATATAGAATAGAACGAAGCCCAAGGACCAGTTATCCTGTCAAATTAGGCCTTTTGGGTGTAATATCAACACCCATTGATGGCTTGTGGGTTTATCTGAAACGCCTTTAAATTTGTATGAAATACTTTACTGAAATATTTTAAAGTTATTTTTAAACTTCCATTAGATATAATACATAATTGTTATCATATTATTAATGTAGTAGTATGTAGTATTTGTAATGATGATTTTGCAATAATATATCAACGAGTGTGTTTACTTTGTGAAATGTATTTGCTTGATAAGTCGATAAATATATATATATAATATATATCTTTTTTAATTACTTTATCATATATTCTATATATTTTACAATTTTTGATCTACTGTAATGATAAACACTGTAGAATGATAATTTAGACAACTATAATGTTTAGTAATAATTCAAAGCAAACTAGCGTGCTATCGCTGGCCAACAGTTTCCGAGAACAATGAGGGCTTTTCATTGAACGACAAAATTATCAAGATTTTCACGATACAAAACGCAATTGTAATCGAATTTCGTTTGTATAAGCAAAATATACTCGGTGATCCGTAAACTCAAATCAGATTAATTTTATCCAGTGTTCTATATCTCTATCTATTTGAAATTTATTAATAAATAAATATCTTGATAATATATAGAACAGTAAACAGAACAAAGATAAAACTAAGGAAGAGACGATTTAATGCTAACGTAAGTAAAAAAATAAAAAAAAATAAAAACGTATTCTAACGGATTGCTTGAGTGGTTTCTCGTGTTCAACGTGTCACGTGCACACACAGTCACGTGCAGATATTACATACACACGTACGTAACTCTTCTATTTTACAAGACTTCCATTTGCAATATACGCACAAGTATAGTTCAAGTAAGCGTGAGCAAACACGAGAAGTATCCTCGAAGCTGATCTTCTTTCTAAAGGATTATCGAAAGACTAGAATAAAAGATGTGTGCAAGACAATTTTTTTCTATGACAAAACAAAAGAAAGAGGGAGTGTTCTAAATTCTAAATAAAAATGTTCACAAATATAATATTGCGGATGAAATGAAATGAAATAAAATCGAAATAAGACGACGAAAATATGTTTCGCTTATCGATAAGTCGACTTTCATTTCTAGGTTTGGCGATCTTGTTGGACTTTGGAGAAATCGTATTGTCTGAATAGAATAAAAGAAAGGATAGTAAAGAGAGAGAAGGAGAGAGAGAGAGAGAGAAGGAAGGTGAGAAAAAGGGAGTTTGGAGTCGTAGTGCATCTTTCACTGATTTCCCGAGGGATGTCGATACTTCAAAGACTCGAAGAGTAAAAGAGAGAGATAGTTGCAACGCGTGTCTTCGAAAGGCATGATATATTTTATCGGGTTTCGAGAAGCTAGCATAATTCCAACCCCACGTTCTATCGGGGTTGTTATTCGAACCTCCTGCGTTGAACGAAACAGTTGGGGAGGATCTCGACGAGGGATCAACAGGTACAGGACTATCCAGTCCCGTTCAACAACCTCCATAAATATTCTCATTCTCTCTCCCTCTCTCTCTCTCTCTCTCTTCCTATATCTACATACGTATAGAGTTTTTAGACAAATTATTCCAATAAATAAATACTTGCAAATGAATAATAATTTATGTGCAACGAATAAAGTAATAATTGCGAAAGTAATTTCTCAACCCCTATCACTCCCTCTCTCTCTCTCTCTCTCTCTCTCTCTCTCTCTCTCTCTTGTAAAAATCATCAGTAATTGTAATATTAATTAATTTGAAATAATAGAAAAAAGGAAATAAATTTTGTCTAATCTTTCATCGATCATAATAAACACACGGATCCACTATATTTCTGCAAATGAATTTATCTGTAATCCGACGACCTTTATTACCCCTTTCTCTCTCTCTCTCTCTCTCTCTCTCTTTCTCCCAGTCAGTTTACTCTGTTACTCTGTGAAGTTTTGTTCGTTAAATGAATCCCTAAATCACTCAGACACGATTTATTATCGTTATTACGCGTCGTCGCTGAACGGCAGAAAAAGTGGGAGGAAGTGAGGAGGAAATGGGGTTGGGCTTGAAAATATAAAAGAGAGTAGGGAAGAGAGAGAAGAAAAATGAGATTTGCGTCAGTGTTTACAGTGTTTTCCCCGTGGGTATCATCCGTTGGTAGCACTGAATGCCACTATCTGCTTCGCCCTCTTCACCCTTTGGCACCCACACCCTCGCGTCCCTTGTTTCCAATTTTTTCTCTCTCTCTCTCTCTCTCTCCATTTATCGCAACTCTCGTACTCTCGTTCGTGTCCATTTGCCTCTTTCATTCCTGTTCGATTCTCACCTAAACTGACGTCATAAATTGCACCCAGTATATAAATAAAATGTCATAACTTTGAATATCAACTCCCATTTCTGTTGTTTACCTTAATATTATACATATGCATGCACATATGCATGCACATATTCATACGCATATATAGAAATTGTTTTTTGACGATACAAATAATAAATATATGAAATTAATCATTTATATATTGCAATTAAATTTGCAAGAGTATAACAAACGAATCTGTTGGTGAATCTAATGTTAAAGTTCTGTAATCAAATAGAATTACAATCGTGACGTTAACTTCTCTTTCTCTTTCTCTTTCTCTTTCTCTTTGAACAAATTTACGTATAATAACAGAGATAGTAGGATAGCTTGAGGCACGAGTCATGAGCGTAAAATACATTCAGATTGTATGTTAGAAAATACAGTAAAAGATATATACACATAGTAGGTAGACATGTATAGAAAAATACAGTAATGTAATAGGTATTCGAATATTCAAAGTTGGATTGATGTTATGTCAATATAAATAATAGACCATTCTATTGTTCGTTAAAAGAAACAATACGTAGGATGAATAAATCAAAGACACTGAAAATAACTATCCCTGTGTACTCTCTTCGAACACCAGTACGATCGATACTTGGCTCAGGCGCAGAAAAGACCGAGAAATACGTGATCAAGAGTAGCGATAAAAAAAAAAAATAAAGAAAAAGAAATGTTTTTTTAAATAAAAATAATAAAAACAATCCTCTCTCTTTCTTTATATTTTTAATATCTAGCTGTAATAATAAACGAATATATCGATTAGCATAGAAAAGAAGACTATAGAGTAACTCACTTGCATGTCTTATACTTATATATTTGTGTGTATGATGCATACATAAGTAAGTGTAACATATATGTGACACAACACAGAAAGCATACGGATTTGGCAAAGATAGTGTGAGTAAAAGAGAGAAAGGAAAAGAAGATATAGACGAGGAGAAGTCTCTGGTATCTTTACGACCTCCAGGGAACGTAAAGTGGTTTTATCCTTGTGTAGCTTCTGGTCTCCCTCCTTCTACTAAAGGGCATCTACCAATAGAGGAAAAGCTTGCTAAGAAGGAAAGAGAGAGACACGCGAATAGCTACAACCAACACGTGTATTCCTACGACCCCAGTTAATCCTCCTACCCTTTCACCCTCTCACCCTATCCCTTCTACTCTTGGAGATGCTACAATCAAGATAGGCAAGTGACAAGGCACTGTCCTTGGACAAGGACAGACCGTTCTATACAATACAAGCCACAATATGGTACAAGGCATCCCTGTTGGGGTTCAGAGGATACTTAAATTAGAATGGGAAAGAGCAAGAGAGAGAACAACAAGAGAATATTTAGAATAACTTTTAATGATTTACCCTCCTGACTTTACTTTACATTCTACCGACAGAATATTTTTACGACAATATGGTATAAAGTATATAATTATACAATGGAAGACATAGAAAAATTCAAATGTGTTATTTTGTTCTATCACTTTTGATGGAAGATAAATCATAAATTGGCGTTAAAATCGATACAACACGGTTCGTTGCTTTGATATAAATTAATAACAAGTTTAATTATCAACAAATCTCGCTATGGGAGAGAGATTAATATTTCAATGAAACCACGGGGACAGAAATTTGCCGTGCTAATACGCTTAAATAATTGAAAGGACACTTAGCGTAGTACGTCAATTCATTCGTAGAGAAAGATACCAATAATATCGACTGCCAGGGGAATACTAATCGATTTTCTCATTTGAGAGGTAACTAAGCACCCACCACATATATACTATATTATAATAAAATTAGAAGAGATCGAGCACGTTCACTTGGAAAGAATTTATTCATCGGCATTTTATCAAGGCAATATAACTACACGTAATCTCCACGCCTCCTAGTTGATTCAACAACGACTGTAATAAAGAACACGTCATCGTTCTCAGATTTTTATGCATGTTACACGCATACATTTATATATGCACATATTCTAATAAAAAATAATTATTGCATTTAGAGTTCAGAAAAGTGAAAGGATAATCCTGTAAAGAAAGACTTATCATCAGAAATGTTCTATTATCCTTTAAGCTAACAATTCATTTGAGAATTCAATGCAATAATAGCTTTCGTGAATGATGCACTTGTACTATTTCACCCTATCTATTTATCTATTTTTAAAACGTAAATATTGAAAGGACCATTGAAACGTTTTGTAAAGATCAATTTTCTCGAAGGGCTCGAAAACACGCTGATGCTGCGTTGAAGTACCGAACAATCCTAAAATGATTTCACCTCAAAATACATTTGAAATAGCTGAAGTGATTTTCACTACACGATCATGTATCGAAAATCTATCGATCCTTTCATCTATTTTAGATGTTTAATGTTTATACGTACAAAATAGAAATAATTTACTGATTATTATTAACGTTGAAAGTGACTTAACATGGAAACAAAAATCTGTGAATAATAGTTTGTTCGAGCGTAGAGCTCGTTAAGGCTTAGCCCTCGTACACCCACTAATGCATTTACGTATATATCATATATAATATCATATATGTGTATGTACAAGTATCAAGCTACCTGTTATGGTGAACGAAAGTTTCGTAATTGCGACGAGCGTAATTGCGAGGGTCGATTGATAATTCTCACGTGGGAAATTTAACGTGTACCTGCAGTACTTTGCTCCGTTTGCGTTCGAGTACACCTACATATATCTATGTATGGAAGAAAATGAAGGGAAACAACCAACAACTAAAAAAAAATAAAAGATGAAGAAGAAGAAGAAGAAAAAGAAGAAAGGAGAAGAGGAAATACTCATAAA